GGATATGGGTCGGGGGAGGTCGCTGTCGGTTGTTATGATGCTTTGGAAGGGCCACTGGGCGGATTGGCGGCCGTGGCGGAGGCGTTCGGTGGAAAAGGAACGCGAGTCTCTTACTCTGGTGAGAGTGTCAACGTTGGTTAGCAGTTCGTCGTCGAGTGCTTGACGTGGGTGTCGTCTGAAGAAGGGAACTGCGCCGTACGCACCTTGCGACTTGGGTTACCTCGCCGTTCTCGTCCCACGTGTAGCGGTATGTCGACGGGCCGTGGTCTCGCGGGGGTATTACCGTTTCCATGGCGGAGGCCGAGATGGGGGTATCGTGCGCTGGGGACACATAGGAGGACACCAGTACTGACTGGGCGTTGCTTGTTTAAGAAAGCCTCTTGGGCGAGCAGGGGAAATAAATTATTCTTCGCAAACCTGAGTTTAAGGTTTCCGAGTTCCGTGGAGTCTCGAAGGAATCCCGCATGGCTGGGCGGCGAGGGTGTAGGCAGGGGTAAGGGTGGAGGGATCGGTCTTATACGGATGGGCCGTGGTTTTTCCCAACCCAGCCATCGAAGGATCTCTCGTACAGATTAGGTACATACATGTTGGGGATTGTGCGGTCCCGGACTGCAGGCCACTCAGTAAGTGCACGGTATGGGGCGATCGCTGCCCCGCCATGGTGCGTGATTCCAGCGGCCAGATGTGAGACCCAAGCTACCAACATGGAGAACTTTCTCTCCGAATTTCTACTTCGGCATTGGACGCCACATTGTGACCTGGTGAAGGTGAGCTCGCATCCCGACTGGGAAGTTGCTAAATTAACACGGCGTGTCCTGACAGTGCCGCAGCCGTGCATGGAGATGAGCTGGTCATGATCACGGTCGAAGGGTCTCGGTTCCGAGATTTCATCAAGTTGCTCAAGAAACAACGAGAATCAGAACGTCTTGTCTGAAGCATGGGAGGCTCGATCACCCGGGTCGATGAAGCGTCCCCCCTACGAGTCCCCAAATAGACCCGCGTTGCATATGTCTTGCAGCGGAAAGGGCTCTTCCAACCGCCATCTGCACGCCGTGCCCGGGGAATGCAACCGCGGCTGGTAACGGTACTGATTGACTGCCGGTGATCAAGTCACAACAACCAATCGGTTCTCAGGAAAGAAACACCCAGCCTGACATGGAGAGGCTCTGGGGTCGTAGTGTACTGTGTATGTTTCGAGCTTTGACCTCTTGCTATTGACTGCAAACAACCAATTGCAAGGTTGAAGCTGAGAGGCGATTTGAGTTGGGAATCGTTCCTGCCGTGCGGATGGTGCTGGCGATCGAACCTCGAGGGGTTTGTGATGGTTGCCTAGGGAAATGCTGGAGGCGAGACCACGAGATCGTCGCTTGTTGGTTCATTCATTATGCTGTGGAGGAGGAGGATTTGGGCAAAATTGGGAGGTTAGGAAAACCCACAATTAATTAACGATGTATTTGGACTAATTCTCATTTTAGGTTAAGCGCCCAGCCGCTTTTTGACACCCCACGACCTACACAGTATTCTCCTGGGCTTCACGCTGGTTTCCAAGCATCAGACCGTGAATACGCATCCTGCGCGCCAACTCTGGACGAGGGGCAGGGGGGCGATGTTGGAGTCGCGCCGGGCTTCTTTCGTTTAAATCCAAAATCTGACAGTGTCAACGCAGAGGGCACGAGGAGAATGAAGTCCATAGAAACACCTCTTGACGAGATAGCTGTTCTTCACCGGGAAAATGACGGAATGTCGTGCTATTAGACTTTAGTTTTGCCCCGTTTACGAGGCCTTTGGTCACGTCTGCGCCGAAAGTACGAGGAGAAATACCACACTCGATTACGGTTCATCTCAGCAAGCCCTGTGCCCCCATGCTGGTGATGGGCGCTGTGGCCCGTTGCATCCAAGAGGCCGGGAACTCGGTGCGAGCCGGAGCCGAATCCGAAAATCACCGGATATATCTTGCCTGCTGTGCCGCCGCTTTTGGCTGTCACCTGGTGGCTCTGACAAGGCTGGGAAGCTAAGGCGCCAAGGCGGCAGTGGTGGGCTGACCGCAACGCCAGCCATCAATAACTAAGACATGTTGCCTCACGAAGGATAACTGCGGTTGGCATCGTTTTGGGTTGGGTCAGATCTGATGTTGGCTCGTTCCGCGCATGATGTTTGTTTTGCCAGCCCGTTTTAACGGCCGGGGCGTGGCAAAACTGCAAGTCGGTGGATTATGCGCCGTACACACTGTGGTTCTAGAGACGACGAAGTGAGAGGGGACCGTTGCTTTTGTGAAGTTGGTGGTGGCGTGTCTTTTTTATCACTGCCATGGATGTTGGTGAAGTGGAAGAAACTCTCAGGTCGTTGTTGGATCAAGCCAGAAGTCCAGCTGCTCCAAGCCACCATAACCCTAACCCCCAAACTTTTCGCCCTGGCTCTTCTCACCACCACATCTTGGCGCGGCTTGTCCCGCATCACAAGCTCCACGTCGGTCAATTCAACCCACGTTCGATCACAGCACGCAGCGCATCCAGCACACACCCACCAATCCAGCCCAACACCACCCCTCCGACTGCCACCACAAACAACAATCCCCCCGCCCTCACAACGTCCAACAACACCAATCCCCCACCATGGACCCCTACTCCGCCGAAGGCGAACTGATCAACATCCACAACCACTTCCACCAAGGCCAATACCAGGAAGTGATCACCTTCGACACGAGCACCCTCTCACCCGAGAACGCTCTCCCGGCGCGGGTGCTGCAGCTGCGGGCGCGCGTTGCGCTGGGGGAGGCCGCGGAAGCCCTCGCCGACGTCAAGGGCGCCGCCGAGCCCGAGCTGCAGGCCGTGGGCGCCCTCGCCCAGTTCGCCCTGGGCAAGGTCGACGCCGCCGTTGCGGCCGCCGAGCGTCTCGCCGCGGAGAGCGCCGAGAACACGACCGTGCAGGTCCTGGGCGGGACCGTGCTGCAGGCGGCGGGGAAGAGCGAGGAGGCGTTGGCGCTGTTGGGACAGCATCAAGGGAGCTGTGGGTTTTCTTCTTTCTTTTTCCCTTTCCTTGGTTGGGGTTGGGCTGTGAGGGGGGGTTGGTTGTACAACGAAAGCTAACGCGGTTGTTGTGGGATAGTGGACGCCGTTGCGCTTATTGTGCAGATTCACCTGAACAATAACAGGAATGATCTCGCCGTCAAGGAGGTCGCTGCTGCCCGGCGGTGGGCGCAGGATAGCCTGCTGGTGAACCTCGCCGAGTCGTGGGTTGGCTTGAGGCTGGTGGGTTATAACCGGATACTTTTCCCGTATATGATTTTGGGTGCTGACCATTCGGGTGTTTCCTAGGGCGGCGAGAAATACCAACAAGCGTTTTACGTTTTCGAAGAACTGGCACAGGCGCCCGCGACATCATCAGTACGGACCTTGGTCTCACAGGCTGTTGCCGAACTGCACCTTGGGCGCACTGAGGAGGCGCAGGCTGCGCTAGACCAGGCGTTGACGAAGGAACCCGAGCACGCCGAGGCCATTGCCAACCTGTTGGTTCTGAGCGTAATTACTGGGAAGAGTGCCGAGGAAGCGATAAGGTACGTCCCCCACCGAAGAGGTTATCAGCCAGCCGATGTCTAACAAGGTCTAGCTCTCTCCAAAAGGCCAATGCTGAGCACCCACTCTTGGTGGACTTGGCTGAGAAGAGCGAGCTGTTTGATAAAGCCGCTACAAAGTACAAGGCCAAGGCGGCGGCATAGATGTGTTTTATGATCATTTACGATTAATGATATCCACCAAAAATACAGAATAGGTTGGGGATAGACAAGCCAAGCCGCGGCGGAGGACTTGCACCTCGTTAAGCTTAAGCGCAGCTATATATCTGGGTTAATTTGGGTTGGCTGGCTGATATATTGCTTCTTGGGGTCCCCAAATATTTGCCTACGGAATGAAGGATGGACCCTTGACTGTGGATGAACACTTGGTTCTATCCCCAACACGTTTCAAGACACAAAGGTTCGCCAAGGCATGTTAACCATGATATCCCAAGATATTCCGAATTGTCTATTCCCTGGCACTTTTCCTCATTCCTTCGGACCAAACCAAGAGCGACATCAGTTTGCAAGCGATTCGTACAATTTCATTCTGTGGATAGCCAGCGGTTACCGAGTCTTGGTGGTGCAGTGAGAGTTTGGCTTGAGGGGTACCAGCCGGGCCATACACCCACGATGGGCAACCGTCTGGGTAACAATCTAGAAACAGCTGGTTAACATGGAACTTTGTCCCGTCCTAAGAACCTCAATCGGCTTGCGCATCCCAAAGAACCCCGCTACGCTTCCACACGGCAGGTCCGGAAGCAGCAACACCTCGCGTGATCACGTCACCCAAGACACACGCTCCACCGACCGTTGTCACGATGGGGGAACCAGGTTGTGGCATTTCAACGGCGGTCCACCATAGTGGAACACCTAAGGGGTCGAGGGCGGAGGCGAAATTCGACTATTCAATAGCCTGTAACCGCGGTAGCAAGACGGGAAGCGGACGGGTAGCCCCTTTTCTTGCCCCCGGGTTAGTTCGTCGCAAAGTCCCAATCAGGGTCAAGCGTCGTCGTTCATGTTCAACATGTCTGTCGCGACAAGACGATTGTGACATGTTGAGGCCTCCAGAACAAGTGGATAGTTACTGTGCCGCTTATCCGCGGACGGACCTAAGCGCTGAAGCTGCCGAGGACAAGAGAGCAACTCCATTGATCGAATAACTCCAGGCGATGATGCGCCACAAATGACACTGTTGCGGACCAACCACAGAACTTCAACAACCACTGCGGCTTCAGTTGTGGGTGAGCTGACATGTTGAGTCTCGGAGCTGACGATCGGTGGGCCAAGCATTCACCAATTCAAGTATCGACTGCGTCATCGGTTCATGCATCTGGAAAAGGAGGACAAGAAAGTTTAAAAGGATGGCTTTGTTAATAATTCGAAGTTGACTCGAAACGGCTCGAGGGCTTCCATGGAGATGGATGGAACCGGGATCGCCCATGCTTCCCGTTTTTATGTGGACCACGAATCATTCAAGGTACGAATACACTCCTTTCCTTACCTCGTTACGGTAAGTCAAGGTCATGAATATTTCGCATCGCCTTCCAATTGTGGTCTTGGCCTGGAGTCCGCGCGACTTTAAAAAAACAACTGTCGATGGGGGCCATGTTTTTGAGGCGCACTTCCGATGGAGGATGTTGGGTCTCGAGAAGCGGCTTTGTGCAACCACATAATACGTGCTGACCTGTTCCAGGTCCATCTCGTCGGGTCAAAGGTGACCGTAAAAGCGCGCATATTGGACATGTAGTTTAGCTGATGTAGTAGTATACATGCATGTATTTCGTACAACTTCTCGATTCCGGCCAACTCGGAGGTGGACGCTTATCGTTCTCTATGGTTGTTCCGTGGCGATGCGTTCATCCCGCATCAAATGCCCGCTCTCAACCATCCATCTCCGAGTTTCCTGCGAGGAGCTCCCTACCAAGCTAGCGTCAGCCGCCCCCATTAGTGCGGCGGCGTGTCACCCACCGCTTCTCGAGACGATCGGAATCGGCGGGGTGTTTCTAGCTACCATTATGGATGGTGCGCGTGTGGCACATGTTGATGCGCTTTGAGAATTTGTTTACTTAGTTACCCTTCGGATGCGTGGCACAAACTGTCTCCTTTTCTCTCCGACCGTCAGATTTTTGCTTGGCCAGCCCGCCCCTGAAACCAAGCCGAATCTCGCCTAGAAGTCCCCTAGACCGCGAACAGGCAACTTCAATCACTTTGGTCGAGTGTGCATTTGATGAGCTGCCACCCAGCTGAGGTCGCCTGTGCGGTAACTAATGACACTGTAATTCTTCCCCTTTTGGTGAGGTAATTCGTCCAATATTAGCGAATCCCAGAGACAGCGGCGTCTGCCGATCCCTGTCCCCTGGCCCCACTGCCTTTTCCCTCTCTTCTGTACGCTGCTGGGCTGCCGGGTACATATGTAAACCCAGGGCTGTGTTTCCGCGGCCGCTGGGGATGACGTCCTCGTTTCCTCGGCCCCAGCATCGCTACCCAGTTGCCTGACGTGTCCCAGAGACCCGTCAACCACTTCAAAGACCCCGACAACCCCGACGATTCCGATTTTGCCGATTTGTGTGGAGAAAACCCCCGCGTTCTGGAGCGAATCGCTGCTTGCCGCTGGCTTGGAGCTGCGGTGTTGCTGCCTCTGCAACAGCCCAGTGCCACGGCGAATGCAAGCAAGCACCCGACACGGGGCACCTAAAACTTGAATCTGATCCCGCCATATCTTACATACAAAGTATCACATTAGATACCCCCATAACCCATACCGTACTCCGTACCGCCACCGACTCGAAACTTGGAAACTGCCCCTGGCTGCAGGCTGGGTGGTAGCACCGGGATCGCATAAACTCCGTGTCGACCCTGCGCTCGCCATGGTTCGCATCATTTCCTAATCGCTCTGAAGCCCGGGCTTCTCCCATAGCCCGAACACCAATTCAACCTCCAACAGCCGTACCACGAGCTCAATGGGTACGAAATGAGACGCGGTGAAGCCTCCGATGGCGCCAAGACACAGCCTCCGTTTAAACCGGGTCTTTTTGCGGGTACGGACCGGCCGCTTCTATTTTTGCCTCTAAATGAAAACAATGGAAACACGAAAGTCGA